ACAAGATAAGGAATAGGCCATATGGCAGCTCACCTATGTGATCTATAGGAACACAAGCAAGGTCTATTAGTCATCACTAAAAATCTCTGCATGCTCACCGCCATGCCAAGTTTGCTGGTAAGTATCAGTAACTGTGTCAACAATTCTTCTGACAGGTAAATGGCTCCATTTGGATTCTGCTCATTTAGGATGCTGTCAATCTCATTGGCTTTAGGAAGCCCAGGGTTCTATCAGCATCTGACCTCCAGAGGACAGCCACAGAGCTTCACAAAGATTAGGGCTGCTTTCTGGGGTTCCCTTACAATTTCTGTACTGCCATGTCGGGGCTTGTTCCACAAGTCCTTCCCAGGATGTTAAATCACCAGTCATAAGAAAGGGCCTTGGAGAGCAATACCTTCTTCTCTGCCCAGCCTTGTCCTGCATTTGACCCCCACTCCTCCCAATGATGTGGTCTAATGCCCTCAGGTTCCACCGCAGCATCTATAACCCAAGGGCTTCCTAAACATACAAACCAAGTCATGCACATCTATCAGTACGTAACTATTTCTTTCATGTCAGGGACCCTATTTCCTGCATCAGGCGATATATAAACTTGGCTGTAGTTATTGATCTGGAAGCATTGTTGACATTCAGGCATGCATCTTGGTGGAAAACAATCTTGATCCTGTGCCGTATGAATGTGAGTCTCCAGGCAATGGAAGTCGCTCTCAGTGCTGGAGAGGAGGACTCTGGTTTGGCTCTCCCCGGGTTTTTAGGAGTACTTGACTTCAGCTTTCCCAGATTCATTCCCCATCTGTCTCCAACCCAATGCTCAGGTCCTTTCCATTTCATATCGGGGCCCTAACTTTTGTGCAGAGACTTTGTGGCACTGCACATGCATTTGCCTTTGAAATTCTTCCAAAATCAGAATTAAATCCTAAACCTGACCTTCATCATCGTTTGCTTTCCATCTACAAGAGTTAAATGTCTCTATAAACACTTCCCTGGAGACCTGGTTTTCACAGTGTGCCCTGAATTGATAGTGATTGGCTTTAGCCTAACATTCATGTTTTCCAAGCATCTAGGGCAGCTAATAAAAGAGCCAAGTTCACAGTCTCCGTTATTGGCACCTCCATGCCATTCCCCCTTCTATCTGTACCAATTCGGCACAGGAGAAGTCATATTAACTGTGAGTCTACCACACCCTAGAGTTCCTGTTACCCTTGTTTCTATTAATAAATTGCCTCTTTTGGTCCAACAATGACTCAGCTCAGAATCTCACCTTTATGACTGCTTTCTTAGACTATTTCCACTGTAACTATCTTATTTGGTGTTCTACCCAAAAGCAGAGCTTGAAGCAAGGATTTAGTTTCAAGTCTATTATTTTGGACATAATTTCAGGAACTAGAGAGAATAAAATATGGAAGAGGGAAAAGATGATAAAGCAGGCATTATCAATCTGGCCACTGCTGATGCACCTCAGAACTTTTCCTCTGATATAATAAGAAGCAACTTGTCCCCTAACCCCTAAACCACTTGATTGATCATTGCCACTGGGACCTTAATTTTCCAAGATTTTCAGGTTGTCTCTTTGTACTGCTTGGATGGCTTTCCTTGGCTTCAGGACAAAAAATTTTTAATTGCAGAATGAGGTTGCAGGAGCTTGTTCATGGCGGCTCCCCAGGGCCTTGGCAGTGGGCACCACCACCAGTTACACTGATGTCAGATGAATGGAAGGGAATATGAAATGGGGCACAAAATTAATAGATTGTAAAAACAGGTGTTATGCAAGTTGATAGATTAATGGAGAGCCAGAAATTGACTCAAATCCATGTAAAAATACATTGCATGATGAAAGCAAAATTTCAATTTAGTGGGCTAATATATACTTACACAATATGACTTCAGATTTAGAGAATTAGTTGTTTAACTCAATTATTTGACTATCCCATCATCTTGGGGAAAAATAATGAAATTTATTATAGCGGTTCTGGTATATTAATGATAAGTGAATTCATATGACTGTTGATTTAATGTCTGAACCTTATCTTAAATTGCAAGTTTAATAATCAACAAGTGTCAACCTCAGTTTTTCTAGAGGCACACTTTAAAACTTATACACAGAACCAGATGACATTATGAGTACCATTGTAAATTAACAGAAATCAAAGATTTTATTTCCCTGAATATTATAATATATAAAAAGATGGTAAGCATTTTTTTCAAAAAGCTGTTTTTTTTTACTAAGGCATGCAATTCCTGCACAAAATATTGTTGCTTAATCTAGTTATAATAGAAATGTAACAGGTAAAATTTTATGTAATTATTGAAAAATAATGAACCTACAAAGTACCAAGAAAAGGTAAAAAAAAGTATCAAGAGGAGAATTAGGAAATTTGCCCAAGGTTAAGAGTCTTAGAAATTGATCTAATATTTGAAACTATTTCTGACTCCCAAGAAAATAGAGTGTGTGCACCTACGAAAGAAAGACACAACCAGAAAGGGCACAGCAGGAAATGGAGAAAACCTTTAGAAAAAAAAGTACATAGGCAATATTTAGAGAGATTTTTGTCTTAAGTCCACAAGAGACAAAATGTGAGAACTAAAGATTAAGAGATACTCAGAGAGCAAAAACACAGGGACAAAAGATTGACAGCCTTTCACTGATGGATTTCAAATCCTAGAAGAAAGGAGGAAAAAGAATGTCAATTAGGACAGATTAGAAGAGTCATATAGACTGTACTGCACAAATGAAAAATATACCAATATTGGATATTGGTCATAAGGGAAAAAGTATCACAAGGATAAAAATATAATGTATCATATTATCAAACAACATATTGGTCGTGATGGGAAAAATATCTTAGGGAATTTGTATTTTAAGTATGATTATAAATATTCCACTTTTGGAGAAGTCTTCAGACAAAGTAAATAAAATGCAGTTGCTCTGAATTTCAGTCTAAAAACAAGAATTTATTTTAGGAAGAAACTTTACTTGATTACAAACAAATCAAGAACTAACATAATAAAAAGGCAGAACTTACATACCAAGGGACTTAAAAAAAGACTTAGAGTTAAGAGAGAGATTGGTTTCTTTAGGATGGAAAGTTCCAAAGATATAAAATAACAACTGTTTAATTAATCCACAATTAGATGCACTCCCAGTATAAATGTTATTTTGAATTTGAAAGAATGCCTCTAAAGTTTACCACCAAAATGTATAAAAATGAATAGGAGATGTTCTGAAAACAAATGTGTTATGAGGTAAGCTTTGCTCTGTCATAACAATAATGAATCATAAAAACAATTGCTGTGCAAATAGATTAACAATGACCCCAGAAATAGACTCAAGTCCATATAATATCCTGTTAAGCAGGTAAATAGATATGAGTGGGGTGGAAAGAGAATAAGGTCAGTAAAGCTCACTAGAAAGGACTCAAAGTTAACCAGTTAAAACTAGAAAGCCAGACAAGACTTTGAGTTAGTGTTAATGAGTTAAAGCTCAAAAGGTCAGGAGCAACTTGGCCTTGAATGTTTGAATATTCCCCAGATAAAAAATCTGAGCACAGCCCGTCTTCATTGTGTCAATTAGATCATGCCTTTGTAAGATTTACTCTAGCTACTAAAAGGCCCACCTACAAACAACATAATAAAGAGAGGAAGATTCCATCTTAACACTAAAATTGCCATTTAAAAAACCCAAGAAGTTCGAAGTAAGATTCTTAACATAATGTTTAGCAACAGACAGTAACTCAGCCCACCTTGGAGGCAGGGCAGACAGTCTTAGTTGATAGGCTCCCAAACCAGGAAGCAGCTATCCTGGGAGGGGACCAGAGTAGTAAATTTCTTATGTGAATTTTGCAGAACTACCTGGAAGACTGATAAGAAGAAACTTAATGTCTCCTCGAAGATTATCATCTTGAGACCACTTAACAAGTCCATGCCCCCCGAGTCCTTTGTCACATTCCTGAAAAGTCCTTAAAAGGGGGAACCCCCAATTTTTCAGGGGGCTCCTCTCTCTGGGGTTGCCCGCCCTTTCTAAGTGCATAACTTTAAGTTTTTCCCAACCTTTTAACCTTAAACTTTATTTCTCCAACCTTTCAGGGTGCCTTTCCTCCCTGAGGTCACCTGTACTTTTTCTCTCTTTGAGTAACTTTAAATAAAACTGTTCCTCTGCTTCAGTATTGTGTCTCCGCCCATCAATTCTTGGTTGCGGTGGGGACAAGAACCGAGAAAAATACACAACTCTCCCCCCTCCACAAAAAAAGCTACATAATGAAGACATATTTTCAGTGTTATGGACAAAATATATTGCACTGACAATATGATGTTGCGGCAACACATTTTTTTAGTACAAAAATTCGCATATGCTTATTTTAGTAATGATGTTTGGGAAATGCTCATTTTGGGTCCTGGATCTATAAAAAGTATGTTCTCCCTTTGCTCACCAGATTATTCACCAAATTTCTTGAAGCCTTTAAATCTGGTTTGTAAGTAAGATGATGCCACTTTGCCATAAAATAAAATAGTTTCACATTAGTTTGAAATACTGAGTTGAATTTAAAAAGGTAATTGATTTTCATAAACAACCTAAATAATTGTCAGACAGTTTTTCCTTCAATTTCCAGCTTTTAAATATCTGGATGCTGCTGTTGATATCTACATAGAGCCTAATTTTAAACATTCCTCTAGCTTTCTGACTTGGGCAGACAGTCAAATGGAATGTAGAGAGAGAAAACTGAACATTGAGTTTCCACTTGATTAGGGTCCACTTGGATAGAAGAAGAAAGAGCTCACACTTAGTATTACAATTGGAAGCAACAAATTAGACTTAAAACAGGCTAAAATATCTCATATAAACAACTCAGACTCTGTGGTTAGCCTACCAGAAACTAAAACTTAAGCAAAAGGACATGGGAATTTCAATCACTGCACAGATATGCAAAGAGCTAGAAACTGTCAATGCTATACATAAAACAGGAAAAATCTGAACAAACTGAAAATCAGTGACTTGGACTCACCAGACAACTGAGATTGCAGGACAGATGACCACGAGGAATCTGGAAAGACAGGAGAATTCAGAAAGACAGAACCAAGATATGCCTTTACTGGAAAAGAAGCCATTGGAGTCATAAATTGTTAATAACATATGAATGGTAAATTTGACAAACTGCTGGAAGCTGAGTGTGATAAGGTAGATATAATTGTAATATTTCCAGAATATCTCACCTGACTTTAGTTCATCTGCATATCAACAGGTGTCCCTAAGGGGTGGAGAGTAGTTCATCTCCATATCAATGGGTGATTACCTGGGTGACCAAGGGCTTACTTGAACCTGAGAAGTTGGGGGAAGGTCTCCCTCGCTCTGCTAGAACAGGAAAGAGATGGCCCTGAACTGCAGTTTGTAAGCAATAAATGGGTTTTAAACTTATTTATCCCTTCGACTGATTTCAATTTTAAAGGTATTTTGCCCTGGGATTTCCTTTCTCCAGAGTTACAGATAAAATTAGGAACTCTTGGAGTACACAGTCTTAGGGGGGACCCCACACATTCATGGGCTTTAACACATATATATGGCCAACTGGTTTTTTATTTAAAAAGCAAAGACAACTCAACAGACAAAGGATAATTTTTTCAAGTGGTGCTGGAAAACAAGGAATCTTGAGAGATTCTTCACAACTTATACAAAAAGTTATTCAAATAAATTATTATACAGCTGTCTTAAACATAAACTGTAAAAATCTGAAATATTTAAGGAGAAGAAAATCTTCATGATGTTGGTATGAGCAAAAATTTCTTAAATATGACTCAACATTACCTAAAAAAGAAATAAAACTACATATGTGACTTTTAACACAATTAAAATTGTTGTTCTGTGCAAGAAACAATAGAATGAAAAGTTAACTATGGGTGGGAGTTTATGCAAATCATGTCTTACAAAAGACTTGAGTCCAAAATATATAATCATTCTTTATTCACAAATATAACTCAAAATAAAAAAAGAATTGATAAAGTTTTTGTAAAACCTTTCACAAAAGAATATATGTGATGGAATAAGCACATGAGAGGATGTTAAATATAACTTGTCATTAAGGAAAATAAAATTAATACTAAAATGAAATGTCATTACACATCTATTTGAATTTCTGATAATACCAGGTATTGGCAGCATAGTTAGTTCTTCAGCTCATCTGGACGGTACTTTCATGTATGTATTATATAAATTAGGGATCAAGATAGATTCGGAAAATTGATCTGTCATCCATTACTGAAATTATCACTTGCCCCACGGAACTACAGCACCAACTGTCGTAAACCAGCTAATGGAATATGTGTGCTTTTAGACTCTCTCATTTTCTACTGATCACTTGACTCGGTCTGTCCTTGTGCAAACCTGCACAATAGGCATTTATATTATTGGGACCCAGGAACATATTTTAAATGTTAGTTTTCTTCTTCAAAAATGTCATGGCTACTCTTGGATGTAAGCTTTTCATAAGTACTTTGGAATTATTTTTTAAATCTGTGCTCCTGCCCCGAAGAACTCTTAGGATTTTGATAGAGATTGCTTTGTAACTGTTAATTAATTTATGGAGGATATGCATCTTTTAAATATTCTCCCAATCATTGAATATATTTTTTCCTCCATTTAGTTAGGTCTCCTTTAATTTCTTTCACTAATGCTTTGTGATTTTTTTCAATTTGGAGGTTTTACACATCTTTTGTGAGATTTGTGCCTAAGTTTGTTAAATTAACAAATTTTCTTGTAAGTGGTATATTGTTAATTTTGGATTTCTTTGCTGCTGGTATATAGAAATATGTTTAAATTTTGTGTGCTGATCTGGTATTTAGAAAGATTGATACATTTATTTATGATTTCTAAAAGTTTGTCCATTTTTTAATTTTCCATATAAGCAATCATGGCATCAGTGAATAATGAGAGTTTTTTTTCTAAATTTTATTTCTTTTCTTGTCTTATTGTACTGGCCTCTGGTATAATGATAAATCAAGATTATGAGAGCAAGAATCCTTGTTCATCCTGTAACTCTCAAATGAAAGTAAAATAAATACTTATAAATCAAAGAATTTTACTTTGGAATATGCTGAAATGTTGGATTAATATCTACTACTCAGACAGAACAGCAATGCCAAGCAATAAAGTATATTTGTTCCTTCTCAAATTGTCTATTTTCAATTTATTGACTTTACCAGTTGGTTTCTAACTATTGGCAAGCATAATGACATTTATTTGCAGCATAAATAGCAGTATATCATTTATATACAATAGAATAGAGACATTCTGAAACTTAAGTCCCAGAGTTGAGCAGGAATGAAAAGAAAGCTTCATGAATAATTCCACTCTATTTAACTGCCTGAGAGAGAATGGTAAAACATCTACAAACCAAAAATAAAAAAACATCAATCTCTGCACATAACACAATTCTCCAAATTATTTCACTTGTGAAGAATAAGCATAATTCTCAAAGAACAATATATAGAAGAAAAATTGCATTGTTTAGAGAGTATATTAGCCACTTTGACTTCCAGAAAAGTAAACCGAACACAATGCACTGAAATGCAATTCAAGTATAATTTCAAGTTGGCTTCAGAGGCTTTTATACTTGGTCATCACAGAGTCCAGAGGCTTTTATACTTGGTCATCACAGAGTCCAGATCAGAACTTCACTCCCTGACACATACGCTCAAAGAACTGGCTTGATCTTATGAGCACTTGATATTTTCTCCCAGACATTTTGTGTGCCATACTACAAAGTCTTCGAAATGCTCGTATAAAGATTTCCTCCTAACTTACTCCACAATTGTTAGACTACAATTTGATGAAAAGCTACATGCAAGGGAAAGAATACAATAGTGTTGTGGAAATCAGTTCCTCAGAAAAATGGAATTTGACCACTTGACATTACGTTGTCGAGTATGTTATTAAGATTTCACTGTGGATAAAAAGTCATAATTTTTGCTGTTAAGTATTTCAACATGTTCCTTTTTCTCTGACAGTTGGTGCTACTCCTGCCATAAAAAAACAAAAAACAAATTTAATGGCTTTTAACCACAGAAATCTATTATCTCACAGTTTGTAAGTCAGAATTCCAATACAGGTCTTACCAGATAATAATTAATTAAGGCATCAGCAGATGTGAATTATTTTCTAGAGGATCTTGGGGAGAATCCACTTGAAGGCTCTTTCAGATTGTTGGCAGTGCTTGGTTATTCTTGCTTGTGGGACTGAGATCCCCATTTCCCTTCATCAGCTGAAGATCATTCCGGAGGTCATTGCATCCTTTGGGTCATGGACGCCTGCCTCCATCTCCAAGTACAGCCAGCAATGGCCAGTGGAGTCCCTCTGACATCTCTCCTTAATTCTCTCCTGCGTCTTCTTCCATTTCAACTCTTCTACCCTCCTCTTCCACGTTTAGGGGCTCATGTGATTACCCGGATAATCCAGGATAATCTCACCATCTCAAATCTTTCATCTTAATCACACCGGCAAAGACTCCTTTGCCATATAATGTAACGTTTTTACAAGTTCTGGAACTAGGGTGTGGACATATCTGGGGGATGTCACTCTGCCTACCACACATCCATCTTGACATTCTGTAATCTTAATTTATTTCTAGAATTAAATTGTTCATTCTCTTCCTAGCCCACAAAGCTAATCCATAGTGTGGAATTTGATGCTCAAAGCACTGAAAAATAGTATACTGCTACAATGACAAAAAGAGGACTTACAGCTCACCTAAATCATCCTGCAAATGCTTAGACACTGAGTTTCAAGGCACTATACGATAGCAAGTTTGAACAATGTTCTCTATTTACTTGCACATTTGTATATGGAAGAATGAGGGAGTGTAAGATCTCTATAATATTATGATACATGACTGCCTGAATATGACTTTGCAGCATTGACACTGAGTTGAATTTGTAGTTTGGGAGAGGTACCAAAAATAATAAGCTTCAGGTATTTATAGAGTATGGTTTTAAATCATCTACATATATATTACCGGATAATTTCTTAAAAATGTAAAAGTCTGACATCACCCAAGGCCTATAGAATCAGATTTTCTGAGAATGTTCAAGAGATGTTTATGTGAGGAAGTGCCCCATATGACACATTGTTAATCTTTGCAGCGAACTGTATAGCCTATATACGTACAGGTTTGGTCAATGTAGCTGCCTAAATATCACATAGGATACATGCAGATTTGTCCTGAATCGTTTATTGAATAAGTAGTGCCTTGGTAAATATAAAGATATAAATGGATAGATATAAAATCCAGGCTTTTGACTTAGAGGTCATGCAAATTATAGAAAACTAGGCACTGGACAAATATTAGTTCTTCACTCCTATAAATGCAGTTGAAAATTAATGGGGGCTGCATTTTCTCCTAGGAAGAAACTGGATGAGCTAAAATGAGCACAACAATAACCAGAGGAAGCATAGGAAACAGGTCCTGAGAAGTGAATACTTCTACATGACACACTTAGTTATGAATAAAGAGAAGATTAACACAAAATCTCCAGACCATGAAGCATGGGGGGTGCGGAAGCTGGTGGAGGAAATCTCAGCTCTCTCCCAAGAGACATGTAAGACCAAAGCAAAGGCGGACAAACTGACAAAAAGATTGTATGTGGGTTTTGAAAGATGATGAATCTATGATTTTATTGAAAGAAAAAAATACTATGTAACTGTGACGGTCAACTAAAAGTTGTGAGATACATTCAAAACAGAATCATGTCATGAATGATTGGTAAAAGATGCTTGTCTAAGCCCTATTGTCCCTCACTCTCTGACTACAAAGGTGAGGACTTGTGCATGTGGCAGATTTCAGAATGATGACAGCTCTACATTAAGGGATAGAAAGGAGGAAAAGGTGATTGTGTCTAATGAAGCCTAACAAGATACTACTTGCCTTAGAATAAGTAATACATACATTATACATATATCTGTAGAGCTGATGCCATTCTGGTTACAAAAAGAAGGGGAAAGAAGCCTTTAGAGAAGACATATGTGCTGTGACAAATGCCTGTAAGGTCCTTGTCC